GCTACTCAGGAGGCTGATACTCAGGAGGCTGCAACAGTAGAATCGCTTGAACCCGGGAGGTGGAGGTTGCAGTGAGCCAAGATCACGCTACTGCACTGCAGCCTTGGCAATAAGAGCACAACTGTTTCTCAAAGAAAAAAAATTAAAAATAAAAAAATAAGACTTCTACTACCTTGCTCATGGCAGGAATATGGAGAAAGGGGAATGGATCTGTCACAGGCACAGCTTTTTGATTCCCTTAAAGGCAGAGTAAGCACTGGGACATCATTCAGGCACTAAATGACTATCTTATCCAGTTGTGACTGGAAGTAAGAACGGACAAATTCTTCATTAAATATGGAGTACTACATATCCTCTTAGAAATCTTGCTACTTGGTGCAAATAAAGATGGCATTTATACAAAACAACCACTGGAACTCAGAATATGCTAGTGATGCTCAGGTCTAGGTTCTTTCAGTACCATGTCCCCAACTACCCTTTGCTGTGAAATCAGTTTTCTTATCTACTTCCATCCATTCAAACGAAAGCACATTACTCATTTGAACTAAACTAAACTAAATCACTCATTCGAACAGTGCACAGATGCATGAAGATCACATGGCCATGAGTATTCAATAAGTACATACTCACACTTATCCAAATGACTGAGGAAAAAAGAATTATACCATATATATGATATAAATATATATATATATATATAATTTATATATGGTATAATTTAGGTATAAAAGGTATAATTTACAAAATGTATATCATATATAATTTATATGTATATTATATAAAAAACATACCTTTTATATATGTTATATATAAAATACATATATATTTCATTTCTATCTAAATAAAACACAAAAATTTTAAATTGTATGGCAAACTCAGCATGCCCCAGGAATTCACTCTTCTTGCAGGCCGAGTTTGCCACACACTGTCCAAAACATTTCATGACACTCCCACCTCATACCTTTCTCTCAGTCTTGTATGTACCTCTCTCAGTGTGTTTGCCATTTTGGAATACACTTTGTTTTCTAATCTCTTTCCTCTTTGTCTGAGAACCTTCTGATGTCAACTGATCTTCTCCCTTTTGTTACAGACAGATCTAATTATTTAACACTGGATAAATAAATGTTCTATTAATACTGGTTGATTTGAATGAAGCTCTAGAAAGAATTTATCACACTTAGAAGAAGGCCTCTTGGTAAGATAAATCTTAAATTATCTGTACTTGCAATCTGCACAAGATGCCAAAAAGAGAAACCTATTAAAAAGTGCCCAAGTCTTTAAGAACTTGACTTTGATGACCTGCCTGTAAGGATGACTAAAGAGAATATGTAGTTCCCCTTGACAGGTATTTATTATTTATCCTTCCTGTCAGAAGTCATAGGTTTTGTTTATCCTTCCTGTTCAATCAGCATCAAGAAGCGTAATGATTGTTAAAGGTCCCTAATGTCTTTGCGCCCCCTCCTAGCCTCTTCCTTTAGGGCAGAGCAGATGAGCTCATTTGCAGAGAGGCTTGCCAGGCTTTGCATATGGTTTGTAATATAAATAGATCCCATCTTAGGCATATCAGCAAGATAGAAGAGGCTTGTCCTCCCCAAAGTCTGCTGAAATAGAAATTCTCACCTTAAAAAGTAGGCAAGCCACCTCTACTTTCTACTTCTCAGGGACTTTAAGAATGTGTGGTGTGAATATTTCAATCTTTGCCAAACTTAGATGAGTCCTGGACTATCCAAAAATAAAATATGCTAAAACTAAAAACTAAATGGCAGTCCTGTTTAATTTTAGACTTTCACCTACAATTGAACTTCGTGACTACATGCTTATTAAGAGTGATTTAGGTTCATGATCTGGATTATAATCTATTGCATTAGCTTAAACATATATTGATCAGGTTCTATTTTGTCTTTTATAAATAAAATCTAATAATTTGGCTTATTTATGATACAAATCTCTATTAAAAATGAAAATGAATTCATGAGGTAAAGGTGACAATAAAACAAAATGATCCTGAGCTACACAACAGTCTTAGCTTTTATTTAAAATAGTTTAAGGCTCACAAGAAATTGTTCTATGTACCCTTCACCCAGCTTTCCTAAATGAGAACACCTTACATAACTATAGCACATTGTCAAAATGAGGAAACAGACATTGGTACATTAGTATTAACTCAAGTAATAATCTTGTTTGGATTTCACTCCTTTTCTGTGCTCTTTTGGTGCAAAGTGCAGTGTATATATTTCTATGAAATTTTATTACATGTCTAAATTTGTGCAACCACCACCACTATCAGGATACGTATTGTTACTATTTTTAAACATTTACAGAAGTCCAACTAAGTATTAAACACTGAAAAGCACTTCTACATAACCTTATAAGGTAACTTTATTATCCTCACTTTGATGTGAGAAGACTTAAAAGGAAAAAGCAGACATTTCCTTTTCTTTTGGTATATTATTATCATGTGACTAGGAGGCACACTTGTTTAATGACATTAATTTCAATATGAGGGATTAAATTTTTTAACCTTTATATTGAGCCTTAGTCAAGCCATAGCTCTTCAATTCACACAATCCGTTTACTATTTTTTACTACAATTAGGCACGCGCACATGCGCGTGCATGCACACACACACACACACACACAGCACATCCTGCAGCTCAAGATGCTAAAAACCGCATCTCTCAAGTACTTTTGCTTTTCCTCAAAAACCATAGAAACTATTTCTATTCTTGTTTTTTTCCTTCACCCAGACCATAACAGTTTTATCCTCTGAGAGTTATTTCTAAAAATAAAATAAGAAAGAAGAAGAAACACGTAAGGGTCTCTATCTTTGGTTTCCCAATGTTATTTTTAACCACCTATTTTTTTTTAACCATTCCCTACTAGAAAACAGCCTGTCCATTGCATCACCCTAAGGTTCCATGCATTTAGAGCCTGGTTTACCCCATCCCTTTAACCTCTACTGGAAATCTCATCAACCAAATATTGTGGTGCTCACTGTGGCTCAGCCCTGATCTCTGGAGCATTGCGTCTTGCCCACCCTTCACCTCTGGCTTTCAACAAATGTTAAACCAAGTCTAGTCTAGATAGTTGGGACCCAGCATATGAATTTTTCTACTTACTGACTATTCCTCCTTGGTCTCTTTTCCCATTTTCTCGTCCTCTTTCTGATTTCCAAAGTTGGAGTTGTAAAGGACCATTCTCAGCCTAAAACAGTGATTCTCAACCAAGGATAACTTTAACCCCAGGGGACGTTTGTCAATGTCTGGAGATATTTGGGGTTGTCACAACTGAGGGGAATGTGCTGTCAATATTTAGAGGCTATGGATGCTGCTCAACGTCCTACAACGTACAGGAGAGTCCCTACGATGAAGAATTACCCCACCTCAAAGGTCAATAGCCAACCTGCCCTAAAAGATGCCATTATGTACCTAGATTCAGTCTACATGCTGACTCCCAAATTTCAATATCAAGTCCTGCCATCTCTCCGAATTCCAGATTTCTATATCCAACTGTTCCCACTTATGTCTATTATGTGCCCCAAATTTCACTGGCTCACAGTTAAACTCTTGATGTTACCCACACACCTGCTCTTTCCCCAGTCTTCCCCATACTGCTGATAGCGTCACCCAATTTGTCACCTTAGATTCAAATTGTGATTTTATGGAAATCATTTGGTACAGTCAAACTATGATTAAGATGAAAGAATAGTGGAGCTGTTAGGAACCTCATCTGGGAAAATGTTTAAGACATGCCTAATCCTATACATTTAATTTGATGGTAGAACCAGAATAAGAACTATGGTCCCATAAGCATCAGCATATTTAGCTTGGCTCCCTTAGGTAAAATATGTAGCTCAGTTGCTTTCACTTCATTATTTTTGTAAGTTGTTAGAAAGGCAGATTTGTACAGTGCAACGATGAGCAAACTATTGCCTGTGGGCCAAACCTGGGTTGCCACCTATTTTTATATGGCCTGTGAACAGAATGATTTTACCATTTTTATGTAGTTGAAAAGAAACCCAAGGAACAATAATAATTCATGACATGTGCAAATTATATTCAATTCTGATTTTAGTGTCTGTAAATAAAGCTTTATTGGAATATAGCCACATTCATTCATTTACAAATTGTCTATGGCTGCCTTTGTGAGTAGCTGCAAAACATACCGTATGGCTGGCAAAGCTGAAAATATCTATTATCTGGAAATGACAGGAGCTCAAATTTTAGAATTTAAAAAAGAAAAGAAAAGAAATATAGATTTCAGTTTTGTCTCAGCTGGCAGTGTGATCTTTTAGTATGATCCAATGTCTGTAAGCCTCAGGTTAAATGGGATAATGATACTTTCCTTGAATTGTAGGAGTGTTAGAAGTAATGCCTGTAAAGGTTTGAAATATAGTAGGAACTCAACTAATATTAGCAATAAATAATAATAATTATTATTATTAGCATAAACGTAGCCCTCAAAATGTCCCCTTGGTATGCTTTGAGATTTCCCTTGACAAATGCCTTTTTCTAAAATCCAAACAAATATGTAACTTAAAATGAATGCCTTAGTACCTTGCATCCATTAGTTAGGTGATGACAGAACAGGTTTCTGTCACATTATGGATTGACAGCAAACTGGAGTGAAGTTAATATCTTTATAATTCACATGTCATCCCACCCAATAATGAATTCTCTCAGTAATTAGTTTCCTAGAAATTGTCTCCTGAGTGATAAAGGTAACAATATCTGAAACAGGAAACAGTCATGACCTATCCAGTCTCCTTTTCAACTTTCCTATGCCAGGAACATCAGAAAACAAGTTTAGTTAACAGAAAACAATAACCAGAAATAAATGAGTAACTGGCACATAGAAACAATCAAGCAATCAGACCCAACCCTTTTAGATTTCCTAAAGGGCACTCACACTATCCATAGAAGCAGAGATTGGCCTTGATTTTTGATTGGCCTCCCCACAAACTTCCAGGCAATAAAGATAGGGGCATGTCTGACACTCACCTCATCAATGGCCTCCGTCAAGACCTTGACCTCTGCCCTGGCCAGCACCTCCAATTCTTCCGAAGATTCTGCCATCCCTGGTGGAGTCTCAGCCTCAGGCTTGCCTCCTAGCTTATATCTCATTCCCAGAGTGGAAAATAGGTCAACTCTAGCTCTTTTTCTTTGTGTGACCCCATCCTTTCCCCATCTTGCACACTGCCATTTTCTCCTGCTAAGGCAGTTTTTGCTGAGCAAAGAGTCACTTCCAGCCTCCTTAGACTTCCTCTTCTTACTGAACTCCCCTTTCTATGGCACTTTCTGGGATGATCTACATCCCTCACGAGTGACAAGGCACACGGTGTCATCCTGCTAATTAACATATGGCCTAATTATGGCTGTGTTACACTTTAGAAGACAGATTTAAAGCCTGAAGTGACCTAAGTAATTAGAAGTGGTAGGCAGAAACAAATGAAAGCAGCAGCAATAAGGTTGGGGTGGGCCATGACTTGGCCATGTCCCACAAGGCTGAAAAGGTCCAGAGGTCAGTGAAAAACAATCAGCCATGACTGAAATACATTGACACCTTGGGATCAGCTATAAGCTTTACAAGCTGTATTAAGAAGTGAGCATCAAATGTAGGACAAGATGGAATTTTTTTTCCTCTGTCCCATCTTCATTCTCTCCTCTACTACCCCTGGTGCTGAGGTGGTGCATGGTAAGATAGATTAAAAAAAAAAACTTGAGAAATTCATGCCCACAAAGTTGAATTTTCATAAGGTGCTGCAGAAAAGACAGGGTGGGAGATAGGGGCCGGTAGCTTAACTGATGTTCTGAAGCTGATACGTTCTAGGGTCACTTCTAGTGAGTTGTAGGAGCAGGATTAGGACAAAGACATGATGACTGTGTAGGTTTGCTTCTTAGTCCATTTTGTGCTGCCATAACAGAATACCTGAGACTGGATAATTTATAATAAACAGAAATCTATTCTCACAGTTCTGAAGGCTGGAAAGTCCAACATCAAGGGACCAGCATATTTGACAAGTGCCTTCATGCTGCATCATCACATGGCAGATAAGCAAGAAAGGGTAGGAGAGAGAGAAAGAGGGGGCCAAAGTCATATGTTTGTAAGGAGCCCTCTACTACAATAATGAGCCCACTACTATATTAATGAGCCAGCTTCCACAATAATGGCATTAATGCATTCCTGAGGGTGGTGCCCCATAACTCAAACACCTCCCAGTAGGCCTTACCTAAGATCTCCGCATTGGGAATCAAGTTTCTATCATACCAACTTCAGGTAACATATTCAAACCACAGCAGTTGGGTACGCCTAGAAGTCAACCTTGAGTCAATAATGTAAGTATGGGTAGTTTCTATGGGAAAAAATCTAAGAAACAATGGTAGATGAGACTCTCTGACGCCATTTTATCATTCTCTGTATTGCAACATTTTAATGTGGTTTCGCAAGGACACCAGCTAACATGACTGAAAACAAGACAGGAAAAGGAAAAAAGGCAAGAGAATGTATGTTATCAAGGAAGTCAGTATTGAGGACAACTGGGACTCAATCCAGCTGGGGAACTATGAAACACAGAATAGAGTGGTGGTTGGCAAAGTTTTTCTGTAAAGGGTCACATAGCAAATATTTTAGGTTTTGCAGGCCATGCAGTCTCTGTCACAATGACTCAGTTCTGCCCTTGTAGAACAAAAGCACCCATAGATATAGTTATCCCTCAGTATCCTTGGAGGATTGGTTCCAGAACCACCATGGATACCCAAATCCATGGATGCTCAAGTCCCTGATATAAAATAGCACAATATTTGCACACTTTGTATACTTTAAATCATCCTCTTATATACTTTAAATCATCTCAAGATTACTTATAATATGTAATACAAATCCTATATAGTTGTTATATTTTACTTGCATTAATTTTTATTGTTATATTTTCATTATACCATTCTTTTTTATTATTTTCTTTTTTCACATATTTTCTGAAGTTGAATCCATGGATGCAGAACCCAAAGATATGGAGGGACAACCATAATACATAAATGAATGGGTGTAGCTGTGTTCCAATTAAACATTTACAAAACTAGGTAGCCAGTGCAAGGGCTATAGGCTGTCAACCCCTTGCTGTAGAATAATGTTTCCCAAACTCTTGTGGAGAAGAACGAATTTTTAAACAAAGTCCAAAACACAGCAAAAAAAGACTTTTACAAATACAACAAAAATTAATCACCAGAAAATGAAATTTTAAAAACAGACATACAAAACACAAGCGTTTTTATTATTAGATTCAAAAGACACAAAACAACTGTCCTATTGCTTGATTCTTTGCCTATATTAGCTATAATCCAGTTGACAACCCTGCAAGGAAGATGCTGTTGACCCAATTTTAAGGAGGCAACTGACCCTCAAGGAGGATGAGTGACTCATTCAAGGCCACACAGCTAGTAAGAAATAGAGCTGAGACTCCAACCCAGGATTGTCTGATTCCAGCACTCACGCTCTCATATGCTATGTTGTTGGTGAAAAGCCTGTGAGACAAATCACTATGATAAGTGCAATCTGGGCTGGGGAAGAAATAAGCAAAGAATCATAAAATGGAAAATGATCTACAGGAAAGGTAGCAGAGAAGTGCCCTAAATATGATTGAAGTCTTTGAAAAATGGGAATAGGAAAAGTGCAGTCATATGACTGGAGCCTTTTACAGTCAGGCTAAGAGTTTTGAAGGTGTTTGTCAAGGCAGTGGACACTAGGTACTCACTCTCAATGGGATTTTTCTAGGAGGTGGAAATAATTATTTAAAATTCATATAAAAATCAATTAAGAAATTAAACAAATGAGGGTGCTATAGTTTGAATTTGTCCCCCAACAGTTAACGTGTTGAAAACTTTGTCCCTAATGCAATAATGTTGAGAGATAGGACCTTTGGAAGATGACTGAGTCATGAGGGCTCTTCCTTCATAAATGAATTAATCTGTATATGGGTTATTGAGGAAGTGGATAAGTTATCACAAGAGGAAGTCTGATAAAAATCAGATTGGTGAAGATGGCCGAATTGGAACAGCTCTGGATTGCAGCTCCCAGGGAAAATGCAGAGGGTGAGTGATCACCACATTTCCAACGAATTTTTACTGCCCACAGACCAGGAGATTCCCGGGCAGAAAAGCATGAGTCTCCAGCACAGCTGTTTCAGCTGGCACAGCAGGTCTCCGCACAAAAACTCGCACAAATCCAGGCGCCATTTCAACAGGCGACTGGAATGCCTGGTAGACAGAGTTACTCGTTCAACTGAAAAAATGGGGGTTGAAACAGGGAGCCAGGTGATCTGGCACGGCTGGTCCCACCCCCACAAAGACCAGCAATCTGAAATGCTCTGGATTGAGAGTTTCACAGTAAACACAGCTGGACCTGGGAAGGTCCAGCTCTGTGGGGGTAAGGGCAACCATCATTACTGACACAGTCCACCGCCACCGAGTCAGTCTGCCATTACTGAGGCGGTCCGCCATTACCGAGGCAATCCACCATTACTGAGGCAATCCGTCATTACACAGGCAGTCTGCCATTACAGAGACAGTCTGCCATTACTGAGGCATACTGCCATTACCAAGGAAATTCTAACTATACCCCTATAAACAAAACTGCAAGGAAGTTCCACAGCAGCTGGGCAGAGCCCACGGCAGCTCAGCAATGCCTCTGCTGGCAGACTACCTCCTCCCTGGGCAAGGCAACTCTGAAGAAAGGCAGCAGAATGACAGGAACTTATAAATAAAGCCCCACCTTCTTGGGACAGAGCACTTGGGAAAAAAGGCGGTTATGAGTTCCGCTGCAGCAGACTTAAACATACCTGCTCAGCAGCTCTGAACAGAACAATGGAGCTCACAGCTCAGCACTTGAGCTCCTATAAGGGACAGACTGTCTCCTCAAGCAGCTCCCCGACACCCCTATAACCAAAGAGACACCTCATAAAGGAGATCTCAGGCTGACATCAGGTGGGTATCCTTCTGGGACAAAGATAACAGAAGAAGAAACTGGCAGCAACCCTTATTGTGCTGTAGCTGCTGCAGGTGATCCCCAGGCAAGCAGGGTCTGGAGTGGACCTCCAGCAGTCCTACAGCAGGGAGGCCTGACTGCTAGAAGGAAAAGTAAGAAACAGAAAGAAATAACTTCATCAGCAACAAAAAGGATGTCTACTCAGAGATGCCACCTGAAAGTCACCAACCACAAAGACCACTGATAGATAAATCGACAAAGATGGGAAGAAACCAGAGCAAAAAGGATAAAAATACCCAAAACGAGAACGCCTATCTTCCTCCAGGGATCACAACTCCTCACCAGCAAGGGAACAAGGCTGGATGGAGAATGAGTCTGATTAATTGACAGAAACAGCCTTCAGAAGGTGGGTAATAACAAACTTCTCTGAGCTAAAAGATCATGTTCTAACCCAATGTAAAGAAACTAAGAACCTTGAAAAAAGGTTTGATGAAATGGTAACAAGAATAAACAGCATAGAGAGGAATATTAATGAATTGATGGAGCTGAAAAACACAACACAAGAACTTTGTGAAGCATATGCAAGTTTCAATAGCCAAATCGAACAAGCAGAAGAAAGGATATCAGAGATTGAAGATCAACTCAATGAAATAAAATGAGAAGGCAAGATTAGAGAAAAAAGAGTAAAAAGAAATAAACAAAGCCTCCATGAAATATTGCATTATGTGAAAAGATCTTATCTACATTTCACAGGTGTACCTGAATGTGGTGGAAGAATGAATCCAAGCTGGAAAACACTCTTTAGGATATTACCCAGGAGAAATTCCCCAACCTAGCAAGGCAGGTCAACATTCAAGTCCAGGAAATACAGAGAACAACACAAAGATATTCCTCAAGAAGAGCAGCCCCAAGGCACATAATCATCAGATTCACCACGGTTGAAATGAAAAAACAAATGCTTAGGGCAGCTAGAGCAAAAGGTTGGGTTACCCACAAAGGGAAGCCCATCAGACTCACAGTGGATTTCTCAGCAGAAACCCTACAAGCCAGAAGAGAGTGGGGGCCAATATTCAACATCCTTAAAGAAAAGAACTTCCAACATAGAATATCATATCCAGCCAAACTAAGCTTCATAAGCAAAGGAGAAATAAAATCCTTTATGAACAAGCAATTGCTCAGAGATTTCATCACCACCAGGCCTGCTTTACAAGAGCTCCTGAAAGAAGCACTAAACATGAACAATGAGAACACATGGATACAGGGAGGGGAGTATCACGCACTGGAGTCTGTCAGGGGCAAATAAGGGAGGGACAGCAGGGGGTGGGGA